GTGTCCACCTAAGATCAGAGATGTTTGATGCTCTAAGACTGAACCCCAAAGGGGATGCCCTGGGCAGAGGTTCTGAGGTCTACTACTAAGCCCTGCTTAGAATTTTCTCTGGCAGTTGCAATACTGTTTGGCCCCAATATTATTTGGAATCTGGAATTTGTTGTTGAATGGAAAAGTGAAATGGAGTTGCATGTATCCAGGCTTTTGGGCTCCTGTTCTAAGCAGGATCAGCCCTGGTTAGTATGTGATGTTTTTTGGTGCTATTTGGCCCCAGTGTTCTTTGGACTCTGGGGAGGTTTGGCCTTTAAACATGAAACCGCTGTGAAAACTGCTTTACCTGAAATTTTGGTTGACAGCCTTCATTGTGTTACCTATTTGGGCAAACAAAACTGGGAAGCTTGTATTGCTATCTCATGGCTAGGGTTCCAGGCTATTGGATCTTTGTGTGTATAGGTGTGTATACATGTCTAGATGTGTTTATTTGTATGTACACTTACTGTTTTTTCTTTTCTCTGCCAACATACTGCATTATACTTGTTGTTATACGTTGTGTCTACCAAATTGACTTATGAGTAAAAGAGCATTCATGTATTAATGAATCTAAGCAATTTTCAAATTCATGTGACTTAAGTATAACTTACTAAACAATTTGGTTTTAAAATTATTGATAAAAATAGGTGTGCCTTCAGAATTGTCAGCATACATTTTGGTCTGGATTTTATGTTAGTCTTTGCTAGATACTCTGAGATGTCAGTGTTTGGCATCGAAGGTTATAAAATTATAAACCCAGCCAAAACAAAATGACCTTGATTTGCATACCTTTTTTTTTTTATTTGACAAATGAGAGTAATGTAATGTTGTTTGCTAAATCTTCTGAGTTACTGGTAAAAATACCAATGTATTTAACGTTGAGGCTCTTACTTAGCTTTAGGTGAGCAACTGATGTTCACTGGCTATTAAAAACATGGTTAACAAGGAAATAACGAACTTGAAATGATGTCTAATATTTCAGTTTACAAAGGTAATCTAGATAAACTGTTTAAAAAGTGAAAGAATTGGCCAGCCACAGTGGCTCACACCTGCAATCCCAGCACTTTGGGATGCTTAGGCAGGAGGATCACTTGAGGTTATAAGTTTGAGACCAGCCATGGTAAAACCATGTCTCTACTAAAGATACAAAAATTAGCCAGGCACAATGGTGGGCACCTGTAATCCCAGCTGCTTGGGAGACTGAGGCAGGAGAATTGCTTGAACCTGGGAGGTGGAGGTAGCAGTGAGCCAAGAGCACACCACTGCACTCCAGCCTGGGCAACAGAGCAAGACTCTGTCTCAAAAAAAAAAAAAAAAAAAAAAAAAAAGTACAAGAATTGAGTACACTGAAAGGGATAAATGTTTTAGGGAAAATTTTTATGTAAATTAAAATCTTAAAATTACTTTGGTTGTTCATTGAGTATCCAAGTCATTTAAAATTAAGAAAGGTTTGTGATATGGGGAAATATGTTTCTAAAATTGTATAATCACTAAACTTTTAGGTTACTAAGGATAAGAATTCTAGTTAACACATAATTCTGTATACAAAATGTGCCTGAAAAAGTTGTGTTGTTAGTGAGAAAAAGAATAATTTTGTCTAATTTAGAAGTTATCTAAAAGTTAGTTCAAATTACAGATTGAAAAGGTTATTTATGAAACAATGTAGTAAGGAATAAGTGTGAGAGAAAGATGTGAAAAAAAAGTTTAGATAATAAAATATTCCTTAAAACCTGATAGAAAATTGGAGAAATTTGGCTAATTAACATTTTGTAGTTAGAGCTCTTAGTCTTGATTAAAGTAAAATAAGAAATATAAGTATATTTTTTAATATACTTAAGCATGAAGCTGGATTTAGTGTGGAGCTAAATTTCACATACATGCTTGCATTGCTTCACACTGTTTACTGTTTTGCATGGATAGTGCTGACACTGGAGTAATTATTAGTCATGTGCCTAGAGTGAATTTCTGATTGTAAAGGATGTATGGTAATATTGGTGGACTTCAGGATATTGAATTGTGTATCAGGAATAAAATATTCATTATGTGGGGTTTTGGGGGCCCTAAGTAGCCTCCAGGGTTGAAAGAGTAGGAAAAATTTAGATTTGGTTTCCTGTTTATTTGTTTTTGCTTCTAATTTTCATTTGTTTGCTGTTTATTCTCCTCTGGGCTTTGCTTGTGGTCGCAGATATATAAAACCATGTTTTGTTTTGTTTTTGTTTTTTGTTTTTGTTTTTAGTTTCTAGTGGAAGGCTTTTATTTGGTTCTGTGAATAGTTATTTTATTTTCTATGCATTTCTACCAAGACATCATTTGTTCTATTTATCTGGAATTCCCTAGGCTACCTTTGTGGAGCCGGCAGGAATTGATGGAGCATACCAGCTTTTTAATCTTAAACTAACTTTTTGGATATGAGACTTCCTGATGCTTTAAGTGTATTGAGTATACTTTTGTAAATAGAATTTGAGTCATGTTTCTTCTCTCTCTCTGCCTAATTTCTTAAAATTTTAGAAATTATTTGTGAATATTCTTAATTCATGACAATGGGTTTGTTGGCACACAGTTGAGCAGGGTCACTAGGGCTGCTCACGAAGAGAGAACTCAGAAACCTGACATGCCAGCAATAGGGTAAGAATTTCTTAACAGCTGGACTTCTGTCCGCTCTCTGTGCAAACTGGCTGAATGAATGGTAAAAGATTATAAGAAGGGCCGGGCGCGGTGGCTCAAGCCTGTAATCCCAGCACTTTGGGAGGCCGAGGCGGGTGGATCACGAGGTCGAGAGATCGAGACCATCCTGGTCAACATGGTGAAACCCCGTCTCCACTAAAAGTGCAAAAAATTAGCTGGGCATGGTGGCACGTGCCTGTAATCCCAGCTACTCAGGAGGCTGAGGCTGGAGAATTGCTTGAACTCAGGAGGCGGAGGTTGCGGTGAGCCGAGATCGCGCCATTGCACTCCAGCCTGGGTAACAAGAGCGAAACTCCGCCTCAAAAAAAAAAAAAAAAAAAAAAAAAAGATTATAAGAAGGCATGAGAATGTAAATTTTTATAAACATTTAACAGGCTTGCTAAAATCAAATTTCAGCCTCAAAATTGTCTTTTCTGATCTCTAACTTTGAGACACTAGAGCAGGCCAGTGAACCATCCAAAAAAGAGGTAAACAGGATTATCTGACATGTTTAGTTACATGAGAAGCATTGTCAAAATAAAAAATAATGTGTAATAATCTTCAGCTTATATTTTAGTGAATGATATTAATAAATGTTCCAAAATTGTATGGGATTTTGGTCAAAATGCCAAGAACCTGGACACCCTCCACCAGTAACAGTTTCACTAGTTGCATGTGATTGTAAGACAAAAGTGATGTTGAGACAGGAGAACGGGGCCTGGAACCAGGGAACCCTAGGAACTTCTTAGAACTAAATCAAATGGAAACACTTCAGCTATGACAGGAAATATCCTCTTCATTCACATAGGATGTACCCCTAGTAAATGACTTTGTAACTTTACTTCATCCTCTTCATTTACATAGGATGTACGCCCAGTAACCAATGGGAAACCCCTAGAGGGTATTGAAACCCCAGAAAATTCTGTAACAAGGGCCCTTGAGCCCCTTTCTCAGGCCCACTCCCACCCTGTAGAGTGTCTTTTCATTTTCAGTAAATCTCTGCTTCTGTTGCTTTGTTCTTTCCTGGCTTTGTTTGTGTGTTTCATCCAATTCTTTGTTCAAAATGTCGAAAACCTGGCCAAAAACCTGGCCAACTTGCAGTCCAGACCCTCCTCCAGTGACAACATTATGTAAGTATTTGGTTGATGTTAGTGTGATCACTGGATAGGTTCTTCCTGCCTGATGCACAAATAAAATCAATTCGAGGAGACCACAGCATTGCGGTGAAGAAAGAGTTTAATTGATGTGAGGCTGGCCACACCACATGGGAGATGGAGTTATTACTCAAATCAGTCTCGTCAAACGCTAGTAGGTTAGGAGTTTTTCAAAGGTAGTTTGGTGGGCAGGAGCTAGGTTATGGGAAGTGCTGACCGGCTGCCTTGGAGATGAACTCCTAGGGGGTCAGAGCTGCCTCTTGTGCTGACTTGTGTGTGGGCATGGCCACAGGAGCAGTTGACTGGTCCAGGAGGAGCCATCGGTGTCAGGCATGCAAAAAATCTGAAAAGATATCTCAAAAGGGCAAACTTAGGCTCTACAATAGTAATGTTATCTGCAGGAGTAAATGGGGACGTTGTCTATCTGGTGGCCTCCGGAATAATGGCTGGCAATGGTCTATGTCTACACCTTAGCAAACAGAATTCAGGTTCCTCTATCCTCCTAGCCTGGTGGTCTCTCATTTGGCTTTACAAAGGCAGTTGAGTTTTGGGAACGGGCCATTATCATTTAAACTACAAACTAACTGTCTCCCAAAGTTAACTTAGCCTAAGCTCAGGAATAATTAAGGACAGTTAAAGGCAAGATAGGGGTTGGTTAAATCAGATCTCTTCCACTGCCATAATTTTCTCACTGTTAGAATTTTTGCGAAGGCGGTTTCATCAGTACCCTACTCATTTAGGTGAAATAATATATATTTTATGTGTTCCGATGAGTATCAGTATCACATAACTGTCAGGGCCCCAGGTATCTGTCCCTGTTCAGAAGGATCACGAAGATGATTACTGCGATGCGGACAGCTTGCCCGGCTCAGTGAACTCAGAACTTGTCCTCAGTAGCCAGCCCCTAAGGGGCAGGGGGTTGCAAACTTCGACTCGCCGGCAGTGACACCTGTTTTCTATCATTCTCCTTGCGGTACTTCGTAGTGGGAGCAGCAGGGGAGTCAACAAAGAGAAAGCACAAGCGTCTGTGGAGCGCGGGGCGGGGGTCTCGGGGGAGGAGGGCCTGGGTGGGAAGAGGCGCGGCGGGAGGCGGCGCCCCGGCTCGCATTGGCCCAGCCCCCGTCCCTCCCCTCGGGGCGGCCGGAGCGCCGGAAAAGTGGCTTCGCCTGGGGGCGGGAGGCAGAGGTGCCCTCGGACAGAGGAAACATGGCCGAGTATACGCGGCTGCACAACGCCTTGGCGCTGATCCGCTTCCGAAACCCGCCGGTCAACGCCATCAGGTAACCGGCTCCGTCGCCTCCAGCCCTGGGACCGTGCGGGCCTTACCCGCCCGTGGCTCCGGAGGCTTTGACTCTCCCCGCCTGGTTTACACCGAGAAAGACACTGAGAGTTGAGCAACTGGTATATGCCAGGAGCCGGCCTGCCTGCCTGCCTGCCTTCCCTCCTTCCTTCTTTCCCTCCCTCCCTCTCTCCTTTCTCTCTCTTTCCTTCCTTCCTTCCCTCCCTCTTTCTCTCCTTTCTCTCTCACTCTCTCTTTCCTTCCTTCCTTCCTTCCCTCCCTCCCTCTTTCTCTCCTTTCTCTTTCCTTCCTTCCTTTTTTCCTTCCCTCTCTCCCTCCCACCTCCCTCTTTCTCTTCTCTTCTCTCTCTCTCTCTTTCTTTCCTTCTCCTAGATTAGCTTGGTTAATCTTCACAGAGAACTCTCATCCCCGTTTTCCTGGTAAGGAAACTGAGGCTGAGACACCTGCTAACTTAGGGAGCTGGCCTCGCCCTGTCCTTCCTGGGAACCCTCCTGCTTACTTGCAGCTTTGTCTTCTCAGGCCAACTTTCTAATCCAAAGGTCTTAACTTAGTTCCATGTTGGACTTTGATCCAACCTCACTCCCCAACTTTGAGTCCAGGCTGCCCTTACCATGTTTGGCTAAAAGCTTTAGGAATTGGGCAATAAAATGGTTTAACACTAAAAAAAAAAAAAAAAAAAAAAAAAAAAAAAAAAAAAAATGAAGTCCCACTAATGCCAGGGCAGTGATTAAAGCAGAATTGTGCCCTGGCCCACAAACGCAAAGTTATTTCTCCTGATTTGTTTAAACCTCAGGACTTTGGTGCTTCCGAGGAAGACTCACATCCAACTAAGCCTATGTACTAGCATTTTTCTGAAAAACTGCACCCTGCCTTCTTTTTCTCACTGGAGAGTACTTGTCTTGTGTAGTGTACTTAAAACGTTACTTTAAAAAGTGAGATCAGCCTGGCATGGTGGCTCATACCTGTAATCCTAGCACTTTGGGAGGCTGAGGCAGGTGGATCACCTAAGGTCAGGAGTCCGAGACCAGCCTGGCCAACATGGTGAAACATCATCTCTACTAAAGATACAAAAATTAGCTGGATGTGGTGGTGCATGCCTATAGTCCCAGCTACTTGGGAGGCTGAGGCAGGAGAGTAGCTTGAACCCAGGAGGCAGAGGTTGCAGTGAGCGGAGATCCTGCACTAATGCACTCTAGCCTGGGCGGCAAGAGTGAGACTCCGTCTAAAAAAAAAAAATTGAGATCAGTGTTGCCTTTTTGAAAAGTAATGAAGTTATTTGATTAGGTCCTTCTGCATTTCTTTAAAAAAGTAGTTATACATCAGCCTTGAAAAAGAATTACCTATCCACAGGGAATAGGATTAGTGGAAATTATAATTTACCAAGAATACATAAAGCATAGAGAGAAAGGTCTTTGGTCAAAATTCTTATGTGCTGTTGGAGCAAAAAGACTGAAATGAGAACATCTGCTCATTTTAATAGAAGTTAAAAATCGTACTGTCATCAGATTTATCATTAGTATTTTTAATTCAGTATGATTTATTGCATTTAGTAATACCCCAAAAAAATGCAGGACTAAAATCACATAAGGAGGACATGTCTACTAACTTGCCATTCCCAGAATAAAACCCAAAATATCTGTTATATTGATTTTGACAAAGGAAAATGTAAGCAATATGATTACATATCTGTTTTGGACTGGTCTGTATACTGATTAGAATTGCTAGATATTAGGACCTTAGGGGGAAAAGTTCCATCCTCTAACACCCATGACTAGACATATTTTCTGGCAACTGTTTTAAACGCTTCTGGAATTTAACCTGTTCTCCCCGCCCACCCATGCCACCACCTGTGCCACCCCCATCCCCTTTTGCAGGAGAAATGTTAGTGCCTACCTCATAAAGTTATAAAGTTTAAATCAGCTGGAAATTGTAAACTGGCATTTATTTTTTATTTTTATTTATTTATTTTTTTTGAGACGGAGTTTCACTCTTGTTACCCAGGCTGGAGTGCAATGGCGCGATCTCGGCTCACCGCAACCACCGCCTCCTGGGTTCAGGCAATTCTCCTGCCTCAGCCTCCTGAGTAGCTGGGATTACAGGCACGCACCACCATGCCCAGCTATTTTTTTTGTATTTTTAGTAGAGACGGGGTTTCACCATGTTGACCAAGATGGTCTCGATCTCTTGACCTTGTGATCCACCCGCCTCGGCCTCCCAAAGTGCTGGGATTACAGGCTTGAGCCACCGCGCCCGGCCGTAAACTGGCATTTAATAGATGTTAGCTATCATTCGTATTAGTCAGAAGACCTATTCAAGCCCCTAACAACAGGCCCTGCTACCCCGGCTCCTCTTCAGTTTCATCAAGAAGACTTTCTCCATTTGGAAATAAGTACTTCTCTGCCCTTTTTCATCTGTCTTCTGAACTTTTTTTTTTTTTTTTTTTTTTTTTTTTTTTAGGTGAAAACGTACATTCTAGGAGTTCCTCAAGTTTAACAGATTCCTCAATTTTTTTATTTCACTTTTCTTTCCTTCCTCCCTTTCTTCCTTTCTCCTTCCTATTTATAATTCTATATGGGAAGTTGTCTCTTCCCTGCTCATTGAGAGATTGAGAGATTCTTACTTGAGTATACACACACACACACACACACACACACACACACACACAAACATATATATATATAATACATATATAAAATTTTCCCCCAGAAAAAATAGTTTAAATCCTTCATTGCTAGTTTAGCAAGCCATATTTGCTTCCATTCAGATAAACACCAGCCTTCTTTATAAATGTAGGACATGCCTGATTAATAGGCTGTCTCCCAGGACAATGGCTTTCACGCTTTTGCTTTAAGCTTATGTTTTTACATAGCAATTCAAGACACACTTACATACAAACGGATAACAGAAAACAGTTTCCTAAAACAAAACCTATCCTTACGTGGTATATTGTTTGATATATTCTATTTTCTTTTTCTTTTTTTTTTTTTTTTTTTCAGATAGAGTCTTGCTCTGTTGCCAGGCTGTAGTGCAGTGGTGCGATCTTGGCTCGCTGCAACCTTCACCTCCTGGGTTCAAGCGATTTCCCTGCCTCAGCCTCCTGAGTAGCTGGGATTACAGGCACCCGCCACCATGCCCAGCTCATTGCTTTTTTTTTTTTTTTGAGACAGAGTTTCACTCTTTTACCCAGGCTGGAGTGCAGTGGGGTGATCTCAGCTCACTGCAACCTCCGCCTTCTGGTTTTCAAGGAATTCTCCTGCCTCAGCCTCCCAAGTAGCTGAGACTAAAGGCACGTGCCACCATACCCAGCTTTTATTTTTATTTTTTGTATTTTAGTAGAGATGGGGTTTCACCATGTTGGCCAGGATCTGGCCTGATCTCATGATCCGCCTGCCTCAGGCTCCCAAAGTGCTGGGATTACAGGCATGAGCCACTGCACCCAGTGGATATATTCTATTTTCTCTTCATTTTCTTTAAAAAAAAAAAAAAAATCCTGGAGACAAGCCACAAAGCTGATTTGATGACCTTTGGTTTAGAAAAAAAAAAAAAACTGTCTATGAAAAGAAAAACATCCTATAGTCAAAGAAGTTGAAGAGTTTTGGTCATGAAACACTGTACTCCAGACTCTCTTTCTTCATGCGTGACAGTATTAACAGGAGAAAAGAATTTTCTAACTTCTGTGGCCTTTACCTTACTATGACTCTGTCAGCTTGAATCTAGTGAAGTGTGTATCTGTTAGAGCTATTTTCATTTTTTTCCTGTTTTTGATATTTGCAAAATTATGAACATAAAAAAGGAAGGATTGGTTGAAATGGGAAAAGCAGAAAGCAGATTTATTCTCATCAGTGGCACTGATTGAGCTAAATTTGGCTAGTTTCGTAGGCATCGTTTATTCAGAAGGAATTGTATGACTTCTGGACTTACTGATATTATATAATGGTTCTGAATCTGCTTTTCATGATCAGATTTGGCTTCTAATTAACCAACTGAAGGTAAGAGGTTTTGTTTGATTTCATCTAGGTTAAGAGGTGAAAAGTAATTAGGTGAAAGGGAAATATTATATACCAGGGCAAGCATCCTTTTTATTTCTTGGGGTTTCAACTCATAGTTGTTTGTCTTAACAATATGGCCTTTACAGAAGTTTGTTGTTAAGATTTATTTTTAACCCTGTATACTAAAGAACAGAGATTTTACCCAGGATACTTGGAATTCCAATGCAAAACTTATCGTAATCTGGTTCTGTGATTTTTTTTCCTTTAAGCAGTTCCTCACCACTTGTCCTAGATTCTCTTCTATTGCTTGATACTTACTAATCCCCTGCTTCTTCATGAATTTTCTCTTTTGGTCTTTGTGACTTTGGGCTCACTTGCTGAGTCATTCTGCTGAGCTTGTCCCACTTCTTAAATGAAGATATATTTGGAGGATGTGCCCTCAGTTCTCTTTTTCTTTGGTAGACTCATTCAGTCTTGGCTTTAGCTAGCTCTTCCATGGATTACTTCCTCATATACTAAAACCTGACAAAATCTACTACATGCCCTATCTTTCCATGATCTTGCCTTGATCTTTTGTCTTGTTAAGATTACCCTTGGCTGTCACTGACAGAAAACTCAAGATAATAGTGAATTAGATAATAAGAAGCTAATTTACCTCACAGCAGTGTTCTGGAATGATATGTCTGCTCCACAATCAACAGGGGCCTTAATTCTGTCTATTTCTTGCTCTACCATCCTCAATCCATGGCTTCTACCTCCTGATCCAAGATGGCTGCTCCTGATCTAACTATCATGGGTGCCAGGAGAAGGGAGGAAAGAAAAAAGAGAAAAGCGGCCTGTAATCCCAGCACTTTGGGAGGCCGAGGCAGGGCCAGATAGCAAGTTCAGGAGTTCGAGACCAGTCTGACCAACATGGCAAAACCCCGTCTCCACTAAAAATACAAAATTAGTGGGAGTGGTGGTGCGCGCATGTAATCCCAGCCACTCAGGAGGTTGAGGCAGAATGGCTTGAACCCGGGAGGGGGATGTTGCAGTGAGCAGAGATCATGCCACTGCACTCCAGCCTGGGAGACAGAGTGAGCCTCCGTCACAAAAAAAAAAAAAAAAAAAAGAAGAAGAAAAGAAAAGAAAGAAAAAGGAAAAAGCGTACCCAAACCTTTAAGGACTCTCCCAAAAGTTGCATATACCGAATGTGCTTCCATCCCATTGGCTAGAACTTAGTTCCTTGTGCGGACCTTACTGCAACGCAGGCTGGGAAATGTAGTCTTTATTTTGAGCAACCATAGTTTTGTATAAGTTCATTTTCACACTGCTATAAAGACATACCTGAGACTGGGTAATTTATAAAAGAAGGAGTTTTAATTGACTCACAGTTCCACATGGCTGGTGAAGCCTCGGGAAACTTACAACCATGGCAGAAGGCAAAGAAGCAGCAAGTACCTTCTTCACAAGGTGGCAAGAGAGAGGCATGAGTTCAGGGAAGCTGCCACTTACAAACTATTGTATCTCCTGAGAATTCCCTCACAGAACAGCATGGGGAAAGCCACTGGCATGATCCAATCACCGCCCGCCAGGTCCCTCTCTGATAAGTGAGGATTACAATTAGAAATGAGATTTTGGTGGAGATAAAGAGCCCAACCATATCACATATATTCAGGTAAAAACCAGATTTTTTTGAGACTTAGGAATTCTCTTAAAAAAACAAAAAACAAAAAAGCAAGTGTTTTAATACTATGAAGAAGATGGAGAGGAATGGATATTTGAGGTAACTCACAGCCCCTGCCACAGCTCCTAGACTGTTTCTCCTTTCATTTTCTTTTATTTTGCCAGTATGAAAAATTGAAAGTAATTTCATCCTTCTCTGAACTTCAACATCACTCTTTATTTGCACCTTTATTACAGCACTCATCTTAGTGTGCCTTACGAGATAAATTATGTATGAGTATTGGATAACTCCTTATACAGTATATAGAAGACATATAATAGTATTTTTAAATTGATTGGTGCCAATTTTAAGTGGTCAAAGTTAAAACATAGTGCAGGAAAATTACATTTTTAAAAAGTGGATTAATTTAATCTGTTCAATGCTTAATTAATCATAGGCATGTACCTTATTTGTAGAACAAATTTAATCGTCATAGTGGACACATATTATTTGCTGGAAGCTTTATTGAGAAGCACCTACAGTTTTTATTCATTATGTGTGTGTTTCAGTTTTCATTGTTAGGAAAGGAAAACACTCTTAAGATGGTAGGAATTTAATTCTAATTTATTTCATGTATTTTGTTTTATTTTAGTATGGCTTTACTCCGTGAAATAGAAGAAGGACTACAGAAAGCTGTAACAGACCATACAATAAAAGCCATTGTAATTTGTGGAGCAGAGGGCAAATTTTCTGCAGGTAACTAAGTTCTAACCCTCTCCCACTATCTCTGGAATCCAGCCACAGACTGAGATCAATACTGCATTCGCTGTGCCTTTGTGGGTAATGGATGTGAGAGACTTGAGTGAGAATGAGACATTTTGGAGAAAGGGACAGAATTACAAGAGAGACCCAGAGAAGACTTTGGGCTTAGTCTCTTTTATAGTGGATTGGGCTTTTAGAGTATATTTAGTCCCAGACTTGATGGCTGTTTTATGCCTGCTGGTATACACCTGCTGATATATACCTGCATTGCTTATATCTCCACTGTATATGGGCTTGGGCAAATCTCTTTAAATTCCTGAACCTCAATTCCTCTATCTATAAAGTAGGAACAGTAATATCTATTTTAAGAGTTTTTTGGTGACATTAAATGAGAAAAAAATATCTGAAGTCCTCTACTACAGTACCTACACACAGAAGATTTAATTCATACAGAGTCTTATAATAGAATTTATTTTTCTTCTGATAGTCACCCATCTCAGTGACCATGGCACTGCTTTATTGGGTTATTGTGTGAAGATGCAAAATTATTGATAACATATGGCAAAAGTGTTCTGAAATGGTGACTTATTCAGTGGTATATATGGCATCTTTTCCTTAATGAATATAGTATGCCCTTTGACAAAAGTCACATGGATATGGGGGCCTATTCAACCTTACTGTAGCCAGAGAAATTTAATATGTGTTCATGGTAGCCTGAAAAGACACCGATGTTAGAATCATGGCAATAGATATAAAAATGTGAATCATTATAATATTACCATTTATTTTGCCTGTTATGTGCCAGTACCATGCAGGTTGTTTAATTAATAATAAAATAATAGTATTTTTAAACACATATTTAATTTTCAGTTCTACATCCTCATTTACTGGTGAGAAGAGATTTTACACCTGGGAGAGATTAATATAATGTCCCAGTTATTAACTGGCTTAAGCAGTTATTATATGGCTTGCTCACTGTTTGGAAACTTAAGGTTTGTCACCCAAGATTATAATGATGACGCATGGAAAGAGTGATCAGAATGATAAAGAACTTGGTATTTCTTTGTAAGAAAGAAAGTAGATGAGAGAATGTAATTTGAGTTCAGAGGCAGAAAAAATTATTCTTCTAAAAAAGCATTAGAGATTATGAAACTTAATGTGTGGACATAGAACAGTGAACACCAAAATGGTAGAATGTACGTCTTCTGAAATACATCTGGAACATTTACAAAAATTGACTAGATACTGAATTTTAAAATCTTGTCTAAATAAATTTCATTGAGAATATATCATCTGACAACAATGCAACTGAGCTAAAAATCAATAACAAAAATATAACTAGCAATTCTCATGTATTTGGAAGTTAAATTAATTTCCAATATCCTCTGAGTAAAAAGAGAAATAATAGAATTAGAAAAAATTTAGAACTGAATGGCAGTGAAAACATAATATAAAACTTGAGGGATGTAGCTAAAGTAAACTTATCAGGAAATTTATAGCTTTAGAAATATGTATTAGAAAAGAAAAAAGGCTTTTCTTTCTTTCTTTTTGAGACAGAGTTTCGCTCTTATTACCCAGGCTGGAGTGCAATGGCGCGATCTCAGCTCACCGCAACCTCTGCCTCCTGGGTTCAGGCAATTCTTCTGCCTCAGCCTCCTGAGTAGCTGGGATTACAGGTACACGCCACCATGCCCAGCTAATTTTTTGAATTTTTAGTAGAGACGGGGTTTCACCATGTTGACCAGGATGATCTCGATCTCTTGACCTCGTGATCCACCCACCTCGGCCTCCCAAAGTGCTGGGATTACAGGCTTGAGCCACTGTGCCCGGCCGAAAAAAGGCTTTTCTAATGTAATGAGTTTTGTATTGATGTAAAGGAACTGACATAGCAAACTAACAGTAAAATACACCCTAATCAAGTAGAAGAAAGGAAATAATAAAGAGGAGAAATTAATGAAATAGAAAACATTTGAATCAAGAGGAACAACAGTGTTAGTTTTTTGAGACTAATACAATTGACAAACTCAGGAGAGATTGAAAGAGAAGATAAGGCACAAACAATGCATATAAGGAATGATGAAAGGGATATCACTGCAGATACTCTTAACCAGCCCTTAAGAAAGATAATCGCCCTTTTGCTGATGCAAGAGGCTGGTGCAGTGGAGGGAAAGGTATTGGCAAGAGCTGCGCTGCCATGGAGCCTGGGGCTGACCCATCTGACTGCCCGTCCATGCGGAGCCTACTGGAGCTGCAGTTATGTCTGGGGATGAGATGATTTTTGATCCTACTATGAGCAAGAAGAAAAGAAGAAGCCTCTTTTGTTAGGTGAAGAAGAGGATACCCAAACGGAGGAAACCCAGCCTTCAGAATCAAAAGTCTGGAGCCAGAGCCAACTGAGGACAAAGATTTAGAAGCTGACAAATTGGACAGTAGGAAAAAAGATGCTTCTGATGATCTAGATGACTTGAACTTTTTTAATCAAAAGAAAAAGAAGAAAAAAGCAAAAAAGATATTTGATACTGATAAAGCTGAAGAAGGTGTAAAGGATCCTAAGATTGAAAGTGATGTTCAGGAACCAGCTGAACCAGAGGATGACCTTGACATTATGCTTGGCAGTAAAAAGAAGAAAAAGAACAATGTCAAGTTCCCAGATGAGGATGAAATACTAGAGAAAGATGAAGCTCTAGAAGATGAAGACAGCAAAAAAGATGAGGGTATCTCATTGAGTCATCAGACCAGCCCTGCTTGGGCAGGCTCAGAAAGCGACTACACGTAAGAGAAGCTGCTGAATCATGTGTTCAACATCCCGAGGGAAAAGAATCCAGATATGGTTGCTGGGGAGAAAAAGAAATTCATCATGAAACTTCCACAGGTCATCCAAGTAGGAACCAGGAAAACTTCTTTTGTCAACTTTACAGATATCTGTAAACTATGACATTATCAACACAAACATCTCCTTGTATTTTTGTTGGCTGAATTGGGTACAGGTGGTTCTATAGATGATAATAACCAACTTGTAATCAGAGATTCCAGCATAAACAGAAAATGTCTTAAGAAGATATATCAAGGAATATGTAACTTATCACACATGCCGATCACCGGACACAATCCTGCAGAAGGACACATGACTCTTATTTCCTACAGTGTGAAACTTGTCATTCTAGATGTTCTGTTGCCAGTATCAAAACTGGCTTCCAGGCTGTCACGGGCAAGTGAGCACAGCTTGGTGCTAAAGCTAATTTGGTAATCACTGATTTTGCAAAATGTGTTGTGGAGATGTAGCTGGACAGGTTTGCCTGTCCAGAGTGGATATACCATTTATTAAAAACAAGATTAAAAAAAAAAGCCGCCAAGTTCTTTGGCTAGTGGTTGGTTGGTCTGAAATCCTTGCAAGATGCTGATGCTCAAGCTATTGACATACTTATCGCCTGCTTTAACAACCGTCAGAGAAACATGATACGGGGTAAGGAGGTGCTTTATAAAAATCATTCAGACTTCTGTAAAATGCAAGATAAAGTTATTATAACAGTGAAAAAAGATAATGAAGATATTATGAACATGTAAAAAAATACAGCTTCCCAAAATTAACTCAAGAAGAAATAGAAAACCCAAATAGTTCTGTAATCATTAAAGAAATTCAATCAGTAATTAAAAATTTCACCAAGTAAATACTTGACCCAGAAGATTCCATTGACAAGGTCTACGTTAAAGCATTTCTTTACACAAACGATAGGCAAGCAAAGAGCCAAATCATAAATGAATTCCCATTCACAATTGGTACAAAAAGAATAAAATACCTAGGAATACAGCTAACAAAGGATGTGAAGGTTTCCAACCATTGCTCAAGGAAATAAGAGAGGACACAAACAAATGGAAAAACATTCCATCCTCATGGTACCAATCCTTTTGACACTATTCCACAAGAAAGAGAAAGAAGGAATCTCCCCAATTCATTCTATGAAGCCAGCATCACCCTAATACCAAAACCAGGAAAGTATATAACCAAAAGATAAAACTGTAGACTGATATCCTTGTCGAACATATATGTGAAAATCCTTAACAAAATACCAACTAACTAAATCCAACAACATATCAAAAAGATAATCCACCATGATCAACTGGATTTTATACCAGGGATGCAGAGATGGTTTAACATGCACAAGTCAGTAAATGTTATACAACACATAAACAGAATTACAAACAAAAATCATACGATCATCTTCATAGATGCAGAAAATGCATTCTACAAAATCCATCATCCCATTATGATTAAAACTCAGCAAAATCAACATACAAGGGACATAACTCAATGTAATAAAAGCCACCTATGACAGACCAACAGACACCATAATAATGAATGGGGAAAAGTTGAAAGCTTTCCCTCTGAGAACTGGAACAAAACAAGGATGGCCACTCTCACCACTCCTCTTCAACATAGTACTGGTAGTCCTACCCAGAGCATTAAGACAGGAAAAAGAAATAAAGGGCATCCAAATCTATAAAGAGGAAGTCAGAATTTCACTGTTTGCTGATGACATGATTGTTTACCTTGAAAATTCTAAAGACTCCTTTTAAAAGTTCCTAGAACTGATAAAAGAATTCAGCAATTTCTTGATGCAAGATTAATGTACACAAATCAGTAGCTCTTCTATACACCAACAGTGACCAAGCAGAGAATCACATCAAGAACTAATCCCCTTTTACAATCACTGCAAAAAAATTTTTTTTAAAAAAAGGAATATACCTAACCAAGGAGGTGAAAGATCTCTATAAAGAAAACATTGCTGAAAGAAATCATAGAAGACACAAACAAATGGAAACACATCCCATGCTCAAGGATGGATAGAATCAATATTGTGAAAATGACCATGCTGCCAAAAGCAATACACAAATTCCATGTAACCCCCATCAAAATACCATGATCATTCTTCACAGAATTAGAAAAACAATTCTAAAATTCATATGGAACCAAAAAAGAGCCTGCATAGCCAAAGCAAGACTAAGCAAAAAGAACAAATCTGGAGGCATCACACTGCCTGATTTCAAACTATACATAAGGCCATAGTCACCAAAACAACATGGTATTGATATAAAAATAGGCACATAGACCAATGGATCAGAATAGAGAACCCCAAAATAAACCCACATACAGTCGGATGCTATACACCAATAACATTCAAGCTGAGAACCAAATAAAAAACTCAGTCCCATTTACATTAGCCACAAAAAAATCAAATACCTAGGAATACTTTTAACCAATGAGGTGAAAGATCTCTACAAGCGGTACTATAAAACACTGATGAAAGAAGTGATAGATGACACAGACAAATGGAAAAACATCCATGCTCATGGATTGAACTAATCAATATTGTTAAAATGAACATACTGCCCAAAACAATATACAGATTCAATCCAATTCCTATCAAATTACCAATGTCATTTTTCACAGAATTATAAGAAAGTCCTAAAATTAATATGGAACCAAAAAAGAGCTTAAATAGCCAAAGCAATCCTAAGAAAAAGAACAAAGCTGGGAGCATCACATTACCTGACTTCTTATAAGGATATAGTAACCAAAGCAGCATGGTACTGATACAAAAATAGATACAAAAATGAATGGAATAGGATAGAGAACCCAGAAGTAAGACCACATACCTATGCCAACTGATCTTCAACAAAGTTGACAAAAATATGCAATGGGAAAGGACATGCTATTCAATAAATGGTGCTGGGAAAATTGGAGAGCCATATGCAGAAGAATGAAGCTGGACCCCTATCTTTCACCGTACACAAAAATTAATTCAAGATCGATTAAAGACTTAAATGTAAGATCTGAAATCATAAAAATTCCTGAATGAATACTTACAAAAAACTCCTTTGGACATTGGCCTAGACAAATATCATGACTCAGACCTTAAATGCAATAAAAACAAAAATAGATGAATAAGACTTGATTAAACTAAGCTGCTTCACAGCAAAGGAAATAGCAGAGTAAACAGACAACCTACAGAATGGGAGAAAATATTTGCAAAATGCATCTGACAAAGGACTAATATCCAGAATCTATAAGAAACTCCAACAACTCAACAAGGAAAAACCAATTAACCCCATTAAAAAGTGGACATAGTCTTTTGGTTAAATATACTTAAAAATTTTGTTTTGAAGTAGATAGAGGACAGAGACATTACCCAAAACAAGACATACAAGTAGCCAATAAACATATTTAAAAAAATGCTCAGCGTCATTAATCGCCAGAGAAATATAAATCAAAACTACAATGAGATATCTCACACCACTTAGCATGGCCATTATTAAAAAGTAAAGCAACAACACGTTGGCAAGGATACAGAGAAAAGGGAATGTTTATACATTGTCGGTGGGAGTGGAAATTAGTAAACCTTGACGGAAAACAGTATGGAGATTTCTCAAAAGAATTAAAAACAGAAGTATCATTTGACCCAGCAATCCCACTACTGAGGATCTAGCCAAAGGAAAATAAATTATTATATCAAAAGATAACTGTACTCATATGTTTAACGCAGCTCTGTTAATGATAGCAAAGTCATGGAATCAACCTAAGGATCTATCAATGGATGATGAGATAAAGGAAAATGTAGTATACTACACCGCCATAAAAACGAATGAAATTATGTCTTTACTTCGGCCATTATCCTAGGTAGAATTAGTCAGAAACAGAAAATCAAAGACTGCACATTCTCACTTGTAAGTGGGAGCTATTATGAAGGAATAATTGTCAGGGAAAACAAGGAGGAGCTAGACAATGAGAACACATGGACATACAGAGGGAAATCATAGACATAAGGACCTTCAAAAGGCCAAGGTGGTGGGGGTGAGGGTTGAAAAGTTACCAAGTGGTACAGCGTTTACTGTTTGGGTAATAAGCACACCAAAACCCAAACCTCACCATTATGGAGTGTATCTGTGTAACAAACATGCACATGTACCCCCGAATCTATAAAAAGAATTTTAAATAATCTTAGCATATTGCGAAGCTGAATCTAACGACATACAAAAAGTATATCACTTTTGTCCTAAAAATATCAGATTGGTTGAACACAAGATTAATGAAATTCATCCCATTAAAAGATTAAAAAGAAAAATTATATGATTATGTTGAGATGTAGAAAAAACATTCTATAACATTTGACATACATTATAAAGAAACATTCTTAGTAAATGAGGTACAGAAAGAAAATGTCTTAATCAGGCAAAAGGTAACTATTTTGAAAAACCTACAGGAAACAAACAAAATAGTGAATTGAAAGCTTTCCTTATGAGAAGGGAACAAGACAAGGCTGACAGCTCTCATCATATCTTTTGACACTGTATTAGAAGTCCTTGATAACCCAGTAAAGCTAGTAAGAGAAACAAAAGGTATAAAGATCGAAAACAAAGAAACTTCTTTTATTCAGAAGGCATAATAATGTTTGTAGAAAAATCAAAATAATCTAAAAAATTGTTCGAATTAATAAGAATGTAGCGGTTTTGCTGGATATAAAATCAATATCTAAAAATCAATTGGATTTTGATTTGCTGTCATAATTAAAAAGTGAAATCACTACAGTGTTGTGCTTGTTTTTTTTTTAATTGGGATAATAGTAATACTAATCTTATGCTCTAAGTAGAATGTAGTATAGCTTTTAAGAATGTGGGCTTCGTAGTCAAATTGCCTAAGTTCAAATCCCTATTCTACCAGTTATTAGTTGTATGCCTGAAGTCGTCACTTGTCTCAAAGCATTAACTTCCTTACCTGTGAAATGAGAATTATTATACTGCTTAACTTAGGTATTGTGAAAATTAAATGAGACAGTATATGAAACTGCTTAGCACAGTGCTTGATGCATTTATCCAATAACTGTTAATTTCTGTTATTATCTAAAAAAACATTTCAGTCTAAAGCTACAGGAATGATAGGCCTGAGACTCAGATTGAAATTGATCTTGTTTTTCTAGAACCAAAAGGAATAGAAAACACAAAACAAAACACTAGACTAGAGAGTGAAATGTAATGAATTGGTGAGAAAAAAAAAAAAGCATAACTCCTGGATTGATGCTAGATAAAGAACACTTAGAAAAAAAGGGGGGGAAAGCTGAATAGGCTAAATATAAAATAATTACTTTAATATTTAAAACTTGTACCAAGCTTAGTGTTTTCAAGGAATAGATAATGCTGTAGGAAAAGGCTTACTATGTATAATGTTATACGAAAATAGGAAAATATAAAAATGATTCTATAGTATGCTCTAAATCAGCAATCCTCAACCTTTTTGTTACCTGGGACTGGTTTCATGGAAGAGAGTTTTTCCATAGGCAGGGATAGTTTCGGGATGAAACTGTTCCACCTCAGATCATCAGGCGTTAGATTCTCATAAGGAGAGTGCAGCCTAGATCCCTCACATGCACAGTTCACAATAGGGTTCATGCTCCTGTGAGAATCTAATGCCACTATTCATCTGACAGAAGACGGAGCTCAGGTGGTAATGTTTGCCCATAGGGAAAAAACTAGGAATTCCCCCAAATATTAAATTATGGCTGTATGGTGATATTTAGGGTGATCTTCATGTTCTTTTTAATTTTGTGTGTTTTTCAAATTTGCTGTAATACATGTTATTTTTATAATCAAGAAAAGTAATAAATATTATGTTCATTGAAGATAAAAATCAATTACAAAAACATAATTCTAAGCTGATTGACTAACACACAACTCACAAATATACATATGTGTTACCCTGATATTTTATATTGTAATGACTGATGCCCTTAACAAAGATATGGAGCTAAATTGCTGTGAATAGGGTTGATTAGCAGTATCACACATACAGAAATGAGAGGAGCTGACTCAGTCTCAGAATAATGGTCTTTGGAGGAGAATCCCTATTCCCCTTTTCTGAGATTTTTAATGTTTTTAAAGATAGAGTTACTACTTATTATATGGGAAGACAGAATTTAGAAAATTACAGAATTTCTGGTTAAGATCTGAGGATTTCCTCTCATAGCATTCTGCATTCTCCAAGATACTTGTTTTCAGCCAAGGATGAAGTGTAAGGGCCCAAAGAAGGCTGAGACTTCTTAGGAGTTATCAGGAACTCTAAAAAAAATTAAGAAATAAATAAACTAAAAACCTTAGAGTATCAGGTAACTTATCATTATGTAACATACCCAGATATTTCTCAACTCTGTTTCCTCCTTGTCTTTGTGCCCTTAGGTGCTGATATTCATGGCTTCAGTGCTCCTAGGACCCTTGGCTTATCACTGGGAAGTGTAGTAGATGAAATACAGAGAAATGTGAAGCCCGTGGTGGCAGCAATCCAAGGGATGGCTTTAGGAGGAGGACTAGAGCTGGCCCTGGGCTGTCACTATAGGATTGCCCATGCAGAGGTAACGACCAAGGCTCTATATGGTGGCTGGTGTGTGGGGCTTTTCTTTAGGACAAACTCTAAATGTAGTTATAAGTATCAGAGGTGACTTTTATTTTATTTATTTATTATTTATTATTATTGTTATTTATTTATTTTATTTAATTATTTATTTTATTTATTTATTCTATTTATTTTTTATTTATTTTATTTATTTATTTATTTATTTTTATTATTTATTTATTTATTTATTTATTTATTATTTTTATTTTTGAGACAGAGTCTCGCTCTGTCTCCCAGGCTGGAATGCAGTGGTATGATCTCAGCTTACTACAACCTCCACCTCCCAAGTTCAAGTGATTCTCCTGCCTCATCCTCCTTAGAAGCTGGGACTATAGGCATGCTACCATGCCCGGCTAACTTTTGTATTTTTAGTACAGATGGGGTTTCACCATGTTGGCCAGGCTGGTCTCAAACTCCTGACCTCAGGTGACCACCCTCCTCAGCTTCCCAAAGTGCTGGGATTACAGGCATGAGCCATTGCACCTGGCCCAGAGGTGATAATTTTGAATGGTTAGCTTACTGGTTAACCACTTCAGCTGTTATGTACCAATACAGTGGTACTAATTGCTATGTTAAAATACTGTACTTCCATTCTCATTAGTAAACACCTGCTACTCTGAGCCTTCTGTCTCCTTGCTTCCCTTCACCTTAGCCCTAGGGCCTCTATGATCCACCAGTGAAAGGGGAACTCCCGAGTCAACAGACAGCCCCAGGACTCTTCTCCAGTACTATGACCCGTATCAGCTTTCACTGATGCAGTGCTCATGCAGTATGAGGGATTAAATATGTTGGCTGTCACTTCGAAGTATACATTTAAATACTTATTTGATTTCTGTTTCATGGTCCCTTATAATTATCAGTACCTAAGAAGACAAATTTCTATTGGAAAATAGCACAAAACTAGTAAATATGTTTATTTCTGGAAATAGGTTTAATTTAGGCTGTTAGACATGTCAGATGAGGTCTGTGATACCACTGTGTATGTATAATGGTAGTATTTTTGTAATTAATATGTTTTTCTAATAAAAGTAATATCGTTCTATTAAACTAGAAAACATAAGAAAATATGCAGATGTAAACTAAAATCATCATAGACTCACAGTTCAGAAATAATCACTATTAATATTCTATTTCATTCTAGTCTGTTTTGTATGTAATTTTTAAATTACAGTTTCCATTTCCTTTGAAAACCTTCTTTTAAAAAAAACTACAGGCCGGGCTCGGTGGCTCATGCCTGTAATCCCAGCATTTTGGGAGGCTAAGGTGGGCAGATCATGAGGTCAGGAGTTTGAGACCACCCTGGCCAATATGGTGAAACCACATCTCTAAAAAAAAAAAAAATACAAAAATTAGCTGGGCATGGTGGGGTGTACCTGTAAGTCCCAGCTACTTTGGAGGCTGAGGCAGAAGAATCACTTGAACCCGGGAGGCAGAGATTGCAGTGAGCTGAGATCATGCCCCTGCACTCCAGCCTGGGCAACAGAGAGAGACTCCGTCTCAAACACACACATACACAACACACACACACAACATTTGGGCTTTTATTGTATTGAGTTTATACTCTAATTTTATACTATAATATTTAACCCATTGTTAAATATTCTTTATTCTGCCAATCTCTGTCTTTTAATTAGAGAACTTAATATACTTATATTTAATGTAATTACTGATAAGGAAGAACATACTTCTGCCATTTTGCTATTTGTGTTTTATGCTTTTTAGTTTTTGTTTTTGTTTTGTTTTTTTTTGAGACAGAGTTTCGCTCTTGTTACCCAGGCTGGAGTGCAATGGCGCGATCTCAGCTCACCGCAACCTCCGCCTCCTGGGTTCAGGCAATTCTCCTGCCTCAGCCTCCTGAGTGGCTGGGATTACAGGCATGCGCCACCATGCCCAGCTAATTTTTTGTATTTTTAGTAGAGACGGGGTTTCACCACATTGACCAGGATGGTCTTGATCTCTTGACCTCGTGATCCACCCGCCTCGGCCTCCCAAAGTGCTGGGATTACAGGCTTGAGCCACCGTGCCCGGCCGCTTTTTAGTTTGTGTGTGTGTGTGTGTGTGTGTGTGTGTGTGTATGTTGTTGTTGTTGTTGTTCAATTCCTTTATTGCTGCTTTCATTTGTGTTAAATGGAAAAGCGTACGCTTTTAACTTTCTTGTTGTTTCTTTTACTATATATATTTTTAGTTATTTTCTTAGTGGTGGTTAATTTGGTGATTACAATTAACATCTTAATTTATGACAGTCTAGGTCAGATTAATACCAACTGAATTCTAATAATATATTAAAAAATCTCTCCTCTGTAGCCTTCATTACTTGCCCCTTTATGCTATTATTGTCACAATTTATATCTTTATACATTATGTACCCCTTAACATAGATTTATCATTATTGCTTTACATAGTGGTCCTAAATCACATAGGAAAAAGAGGAATCGCAAATGAAAAATACATTGTTCCTGTCTTTTATATTTACCTCTGTAGTTACTCTTTGTCAGGGTTCTTTATTTCTTCATGTGAATTCAAGTTACTGCCTGATGTCTTTTCCTTAGCAGCCTGAAGTATTTCTTATAGGCTAAATGTACTAACAACAAAATCAGTTTTTCTTTATCTGCCAATGTGTTAATTTTACCTTCATTTTCAAAGGATAGTTTTGCTGGATATAGAATTCTTGACTGACAGTTGTTTTCTTTTGGCACTTTGCTTATGTCATTTCATGCCTTCTGGCCTCCGTGGCTTCTGAGCATAAATCATGTTAATCTTCTGGTAAATATTCTTTAAAAATACCATTATAGTTGGCTACATAATATTTGATCATATAGCTATGCCAGAATTTATTTAATCATTTCCCAATGGTATTTTAATTTTTATAAATGCTTATAAATAAATACTCATATATGTCCTAAGTAATCCTTTTCTGTGTCCTTCTTACCATAACCCGTACCCTGAGTACAGATCTGAGTTACTAGCAGTAAGTCAAGGTGTAGAGATGGACAGTGGTAGAAAGAACGGTGATTGACTTTTAGGAAAACCTTGCATAAGAGAGGCCTCAGATATGTGAGATATTTTGGAACTGCTGGAATCACAGTTCCAAATGGCAGCCTGCATTTAAGTATCCTCCTCTCACCCTTCTACCTGTAAATGGCTAACAGACTCCTAGCCAGTTTTAAATGGAATGGCCAAGAAAGGCAATGTAATAAAGGACTCAAGCTCACCTTCTTGTCTGGACTGAGATTACTGTCTGATTTTTTAAAAAAATCTTACCGAGACATAATTATACACCATACAATTCATTCACTTAAAGTGTGCAATTCAATGGTATATGAGTATATTCTCAGAGTTGTGCAACCATTATCACAGGAGATTTTAGAACATTTTATCACCCCAAAAAGAAACCAGGTATCCTTTAGCAGTAACCCTCCATCACCTTCTCCTGCTATCCTAAGCAGCTGCTAATCTACTTTCTGTCTGTATAGATTTGCCTATTCTGGATATTTCATATAAATGAAATCATACAATATGTGGTATTTTGTGACTGGCTTTTTTTGTTCAGCATGTTTTCAAGGTTTATCCAAGTTGTAGCATGAATCAGTTCTTTATTTATATTTCTGCATAATGTTCCATTGTATGGATGTACCACCTTTCATTTTTCCACTAATCATTGATGGACATTTGGGTTACTTCTACTTTTTTGGCTTTTATGAACCACGATGCCATGAAAATTTGTATACAAGATTTTCGTGGGCATATGTTTTCATTTCTCTTGGGGATATACTCAGGAATGGATTTGATGGGTCATATGATAACTCTACATTTAACATTTAAGGAACTGCCAAATTGTTTTCCAAAGTGTCTGCTCTGTTTTATATTCCCACCAGCAATGTCTGAGAATTCTGTGTTCTCCATATTCTCTCCAACACCTGTTATTATGTGTCTTTTTTTAAATGGCTGTCTTAGTGGGTATAAAGTGATATCTTGTGGTTTTTATTTGTATTCCTCTGATGGCTAATGATACTGAGCAACTTTCAAGTACTTACTGGCCATTTGTATCTTTTCTTTGGAGAAATGTCAGTCCAGATCTTTTGCCCATTTTTAACTGGTTACTTGTCTTTTATTATTGATTTGTAAAAGTTCTTTATATATTCTAGATAGAAATCCTATATCACATATATAATTTGTAAGTATTCTCTCCCATCGTGTAGGTTATCTTTTCACTTTCCTGTGGTTCCTAATTCTTGCAGGACTCCAGAAAGTTGTTTCTGGAGAATATTATTTTTGTTGGCTGAGACAGGTCATAACAGAGTCAGAGAATAAATGTGTATGAAGACTTAGGGACAGCACAGCTCTGTTTATGCTGTTAATTAGAGAAAAGGATGTGCACTAATTTGTCCTGTAGAAATCTTGCTGAATTCAATGAAACAATGTTTCTGAGAATATAGGAAATCCAGAGAAATGCTTGCCTTGACTCTAAATATATCATCTCATTCTAATGGCCTTTATGCCTTCAATCTTTGATAGGCTCAAGTTGGCTTACCAGAAGTTACACTGGGACTTGTGCCTGGTGCAAGAGGAACCCAGCTTCTCCCAAGACTCATCGGAGTTCCTGCTGCACTTGACTTAATTACCACAGGTCAGTACAGACTTTGGCAACAACTGTCTAGATTAGTGTGGAGAATTGGACTAGGATTTAGAAAAATTCTGGCTTGACCCCTACTACCTATGTAACCTTAAAAGAATTCTTGAACTTCTTGGACTCTGAATTTTCTGGTCTGTAATATGGAGAAATAGCTTTCTGAGCTTCTCAAACGTTATCATGATGATCATACGTGAGAACCTTTTAAATGAAAGTGCATGCAAAGAACTAATCAAATTTAGGGTTTTCTTTTAGTTCAAGGGACTACTTATAAACACTGGTGTTTACATAGAATGCCTTATATTTAGAACTGATTTAGAAATTGTAATATAGGCTGGATATGATGGCTCATGCCTGTTACCCCAGCACTTTGGGAGGCCGAGGTAGGCAGATCACTTGAGGTCAGAAGTTCGAAATCAGCCTGTTGAAACCCCATCTCTATTGAAAAAAAAAAAAAATTAGCCAAGCCTGGTGGCCGGTACCTATAATCCCAGCTACTTGGGAGACCAAGGCAGGGGAATCACTTGAACCCAGGAAGCAGAAGTTGCAGTGAACTGAGATCATGCCACTGCACTCCAGCCTGGGCAATGGAGCAAGACTCTCTTTGAAAAAAAAAATTGTAATATAAATGAGAATTAGAACCATAATTTTCAAGGGTTTTTGTTTGTTTGTTTGTTTGTTTTTGAGATAGAGTTTCATTCTTGTTACCCAGGCTGGAGTCCAATGGCATGATCTCAGCTCACTGCAACCTCCACCTCCCAGGTTCAAGTGATTCTCTTGCCGCAGCCTCCCAAGTAGCTGGGATTGCAGGAATATGCCGCCACACCTATTTTGTATTTTTAGTAGAGACAGGATTTCTCCACATTGATTAGGCTGGTCTTGAACTCCCAACCAACCTCAGATGATCTGCCTGCCTCAGCCTCCCAAAGTGCTGGGTTTACATGCATGAGCCACTTTGCCCAGTCAGATCTGTCTTTTTAGTAAAAGAGGAAAATTGAACAAAAATAAGATGAGGATCTTGAGATTAGACTATGTCCTGAAGAAAAGGCAATGAAAAGAGCATAAGCGTTAGAATCAAAGACCTGGCTTTGAATCCCAGCTCTACCACATATAAATAATATGCCTTGTGTAACTTAATTTTTATTTATTCATCTAGCAACTATTAATTTTCTCTCATATGCTGGGCCCTTTTCTAGGCATTAGGTCTATAGCAGTGAACAGAACCAACAAAAATTTCTGCTTTCATGGAGATTATATGAAGAACACAACAATAATCACAACAATACTCTTCATTGTCATGTTTCATCAATTCAAAAATGTCCTTTGTCCCCACAGCTTTCAAAGCGAGATGACTTTCAAATTCATTGTAAGTCATGGTTTAATTTGCAGTGTTTTTTCTTTCCAAATTTTTGTGTTAGGAATTTGGGAGCAGCTTACCTGGGATATAGCTCAGGGTTTGCTAGGAGATTGCAGTCAAGACACTGTGACTAGGACTATAGTCATCTGAAGGCTTGACTAGTACTGGAGGATCTACTTTCTTTCTTTTTTTTTTTTCTTTTTTTTTTTTTTGAAGATGGAGTTTTGCTCTTGTCGCCCAGGCTAGAGAGTGCAATGGCACAATCTTGGCTCATTGCAACTTCCGCCTCCCGGGTTCAAGTGATTCTTTTGCTTCAGCCTCCCGAGTAGCTGGGATTCCAGGCCTGTGCCACCACATCCAGCTAATTTTTATATTATTAGTACAGACAGGGTTTCACCATGTTGGCAAAGCTGATCTCAAACTCCTGACCTCAGTTGGTCCACCCACCTCTACCTCCCAAAGTGTTGGGATTACAGGCATGAGACAGTGCACCAGGCCTGGAGGATCTACTTTCGAGGTGACTCACTCACATGGATGACTAGATGCTGACACTGGTAGGAGGCTTCATTTCCTCTGTATGGGGACCTCTCCATAGAGCTTCCTGAGTGTTTGCACAATGTGACAGCTCCCTTTCTTTAGAATAAGTGGCCTAAGAGAGAGCAAGGCAAAAGCCACAATGTCTTTTATGACCTAGCTTTGGAGTCACATGCAATCTTTTCTAAACTCTCCTCTTGGCTATGCAGGTATTCTCTATTCAATATGGGAGGAAGCTTGAATACCAAGAGGTTAAACTTGCTGGAGGTCACCTTGGAGACTAGCCACCACAACTATAAACACACATATGCCTACCTATTATATAATTTATATATATATGGAGATAAATGCTAAGAAAACACAAAACAGAAAAAGGGAGATATAAAATGTTAGGAATGGGAGGTGAATTAATATTTTAGGTAGGATAGCTAGAAAAGGCTTCTCTACAAAACGACATCTGAATAAATACCTGAAGAAGATAAGGAAGTTTGTTATGTAAATATCTAGAGGAAGAAGTCCCACATAAAGAAAACAGCAAGTACAAAGCCCTGAGGTAGGGACATGCTTGGAATGTTCAAAGGACAGCAAGAAGGTTAATGTCACTGGAATGGAATGAGTCAGGGGAAAAATAGTAAGGGATGATGCCCTACCTTGTTGGGCTCGGAAAGTTTATAGAAAGAACTTTGGCTTTTCTTTTGAATGAGGAAGAAAGGCATTGGAGTGTTTCAAGCAGAGGAGTAACATGCTCTCACTTAGGTTTTTTACAAAATCACTCTGGCTGTTGAAAATATGCCAATTGGAGACAAGAACAAAAATAGGAAGACTGAGGCTTGCTATCATAATCCAAGGGAGAGACTTGGGTCTAAGTGGTAGCAATGTAAATGGTAAGATATGATCAGATTCTAGAGATATTTTGAAGGTAGAGCCAACAGGATTTTGTGACAGAGCAGATACAAGATGTGAGAGAAAGAGAAGAGTCAAGGATGAAATTTACCAGGAAATTCAAACAGGGCGGAGCCCACAGCAGCTCAGCAAGGGCTCTGCAGGCAGACTGTGTCACTAGACTCCCTCCTTGCTGGGCAAGGCATCTCTGAAAAAAGGCAGCAGCCTGCCAAGGAGTTATAAATAAAGTCCCCACCTTCCTGGGAAAGAGCACCTGGGAAAAGGGGCAGTGGTAGGTACAACTTCAGCAGGCTTAAACGTCCCTGCCTCACAGCTCTGAAGAGAGCAGTAGATTTCCCAACACAGCGTTCAAGCTCTGAAAAGGGTCAGACTGCCTCCTCAAGTGGCTCCCTGACCACCATTTATCCTGACTAGGAGATACTTCCCAGCAGGGGCTGACAGACACCTCATACAGGAGAGCTCTGGCTGGCATCTGGCAGGTACCCTTCTGGGACAAGCTACCAGAGAAAGGAACAGACAGCAATCTTTGCTGTTCTGCAGCCCCTGCTGGTGATTCCCAGGCAAGCAGGGTCTGGAGTGGATCTACAGCAAACTCCAGCAGACCTGCAGCAGAGAGGCCTGACTGTTAAAAGGAAAACTGACAAACAGAAAGAAATACTTTCAACATCAACAGAAAGAAGGCCCACTCAAAGACCCCATCCAAAGGTTACCAACTTTAAAGACCAAAGGTAGGGAAATCCACAAAGATGGGAAGAAACCAGTGCAAAAAGGCTGAAAATTCCAAAAACCAGAACACCTCTTCTCCTCCAAGGGATCACAACTCATCACCAGCAAGGGAACAAAACTGGACAGAGAATGAGTTTGATGAACTGACAGAAGCAGGCTTCAGAAAGTGGGTAATAACAAACTTCTCTGAGCTAAAGGAGCATGTTCTAACCCAATGCAAGGAAGCTAAGAACCTGGAAAAAAGGTTAGGCAAAATGCTAACTAGAATAACTAATGTAGAGAAGAACATAAATGACCCGATGGAGCTGAAAACCACAGCACAAGAACTTTGTGAAGCATACACAAGTTTCATTAGCATACACAAATCAATCAAGCAGAAGAAAGGATATCAGAGATTGAAGATCAACTCAATGAAATAAAGTGAGAAGACAAGAATCGAGAAAAAAGAGTGAAAAGAAATGAACGCAAAGCCTCTAAGAAGTATGGGATTATGTGAAAAGACCAAATCTACATTTGATTGGTGTACCTGAAAGTGATGGGGAGAATGAAACCAAGTTGGAAAACACTCTTCAGGATATTATCCAGGAGAACTTCCCCAACCTAGCAAGGCAGGCCAACATTCAAACCCAGGAAATACAGAGAACATCACAAAGTTATTCCTCGAGAAGAGCAATCCCAAGACACATAATTGTCAGATTCACCAGGGTTGAAATGAATGAAAAAGATGATAAGGACAGCCAGAGAGAAAGGTTGGGTTACCCACAAAGGGAAGCCCATCAGACTAACAGTGGATCTCTCAGCAGAAACTCTGCTAGCCAGAAGAGAGTGGGGACCAATATTCAACACCCTTAAATAAAAGAATTTTCAACCCAGAAGTTTATATCCAGCCAAACTAAGCTTCATGGGCAAAGGAGAAATAAAATCCTTTATGGACAAGCAACTGCTGAGAGATTTTTTCACCACCAGGCCTGCCTTACAAGAGGTCCTGAAGGAAGCACCAAATATGGAAAGAAACAACCAGTATCAACCACTGCAAAAACATACCAAATTGTAAAGACCATCAGTGCTATGGAGAAACTGCATCAACTAACAGGCAAAACAACCAGCTAGCATCATAATGGCAAGATCACATTTATACGTAACAATATTAACCTTAAATGTAAATGGGCTAAATGCCCCAATTAAAAGACATACACTGGCAAATTGGATAAAGGGTCAAGACCCATCACTGTGCTGTATTCAGGAGACTCATCTCATGTGCAAAGACACACATAGGCTCAAAATAAAGAGATAAAGGAATATTTACCAAGCAAATGGAAAGAAAAAAAAAAAAAAAAAAAGCAAGGGTTGCAATCCTAGTCTCTGATAGAACCGGTTTTAAACCAACAAAGATCAAAAGACACAAAGAAGGGCATTACATAATAGTAAAGGGATTAATGCAACAAGAAGAACTAACTATCCTAAATATATATGCACC